ATAAAGGACACAGTGCAACACTCTCCTATTTTGGCGTGCTTTGTTCGTTACGATAACAATAACATGGTATTATATAGTTATCCGGACACAATGGCATCTTAAGGAAATACGACTATAATATTGGCATTCATTTTACCATTATAATCATCATCATCAATCATGGTTAATACACTGCTGGATGAAAGCCTCCCCAAGCCATTGCTATCTCTCCTGATCCCACAATGCAACAAAGCACTCATTTAAAGTATATCATGATGAAATATTTTCAACGATAATGTTTTACGGAACAATGTTGGCTAGGCACTGTAATTAGCAGAGGGTTTAGGTCACCCACATGCAATTGCAAATAAAAGGCAAATACCTAGCCAATTTATTTTTGTACTGGATAAACAGGTTGATATTCCACACATGTGCGAGACACAATGTAATGGCCCAAAGGAAACTATGTTGGAAATGTATCACCCACCAGATAGGCTGACCGTAATGAGAGTCAAATCAGATTTGACCAAATGTGTACAAATCATTTGATGGCTCAAGGGAGAAATGCGTTTGACTTTTGGAGAAAAATATTGCAGATCTAATGGCATATACATAATATTTGGGTGATTATAAAGAGCACTGCCATGTGAGTAATCATTTCTACATGAGAGCACATCTGGATGTCTTTGTGATGCAAGGGTTTCTTGCAGCAGGCAGCAAGTTATGGTACATTTCTCGGGCATCGAAAGTGGTCATTACAGCACTGTTACAGCTACACATTTAAGTGTTATACGTTGGAAAGTGAAGCATCGAAGTACATTGTGGATAGTTTCCAATCAGCAGACGGTAAGACGGTATTCTGAGCTAGGCTGTGTTAATATCCGTCATGACAGATACCATTTATGTTGGTTCATACAATATTATGTGCATATGCAGATAAAAAAACAAATGAATAGCTCCCAACTGAATCTGGCACTAAAATATATTTAAATAACAGTGTTGGAGCAGGAAGTTGCATGCAAGTAAATGGAAGCAATGCCGAATTCCAAGTTCACATTTGGGTCTGATTGAAGGACATTGCTATGGGCTTGATTATTTATGAACTAGACCCAATTATGGGTTGGGAAATCATGAATGTTGCAGAACAGGACACTGCAAAAAATTCGTTGCAAAGGACTTTCTTGAAAAACAACAAAATCAGAGCAAGGCTTGGCTGCATGAGACTGACAACAGGTGTGGACATGTGTAAAAATAAAGACAGCACAATGTAGGTATTTATTTTTGTACCTACGTGACTTTACCGAATATAACCAAAGAGTATGGATCCTTGCAGTCACGAAAGCTTCAAATCTAGAACAGCACAATGTATTTAGGTATAAATGTCTAAGGACACTGTCATGAGCAAACATTTATTAGTTTAAGGAACATAGAATAAACGAAATCACTGAAATATCCACATTGGTATTCCAAGCAGTGGTGGTGATCACATTTTATCGTTGAAAACCCATTCAGGTTTGGGTGGGGTTTACATTCTTGCAGGGCTATGCAAGAGAAATAACACCACAGTACAACTGACTTTGGAATGTGATTATTGCACGCACACACGTACACATGCACACACGAACATAATCCACAACTGTCACCTAAGTAATCTCCACCAACCACAGAATGACAACAAACTACAGGGGCATGTTATTCAGAAGTATTATGGAAAAAAACTGGTTTTTAATGTGCAAACATTCTTCTGCACACGAATGTGATGGATTCTGTATGACGATCCATTGGTTATATCTTTCAAAACATCCATCAACCACTTGTGAAAACAAGTCTCTGATTTTGTTTGGGAACAAGGGGGAATACATATCCAACTTTAAGGCTAATCAAAACTGTGCCAGCTTCGCTCATACCAAGAGGCATGCAACTGAAACAAGTAATCACAGGCAAGTCACAAACTGCATAAATACCTTAGGATAAGATTTGATAATGCACTGGCGGGCTTTGTACATTCGTAATAGAAAAGTGTTTCTTGATCTGTGCGCAAGTTGCTGTGAATGCAGTTTTATTAATTGAGGTAGGGGGAAGCTGGGCAAGATTTCGTTACTACAATTTTTTTTAAAAATGTAAATACTTTTGTGGCTTCTTTTGATTCTGTATGACAGAAGTGATGTTCCATTCATCCCTCGGCTGTATTTAGTTACACTTCAGTACACTAGCAAATGCCAAGAATGTGATCTCACTCTTTGCTCATGTATTGATATGGAAGATATTTTATTCTGATAATACATTAATGGTGACCTAAAACTGTGGTGTTTTAAAAATATGGCAGTGTGCAACATATTTATCACGTTCACGTGTTCTTTGACAGAGTCCATGTTTCTGACACATATGTCTCAAGATGTTTGGCCAATTCCAATGCCATGAGAGTTTGGTTAAGTGTAGAAGGAACCCGGAGAAAAGCCACCACACACACGAGGGGGTCACATTCAAAGCCTCACAAACAATTTTAAGAATCCACTGCTGCTGCTCTTGACCACCTCCCAGCCTGCTCCAATCCTACAGCAAGCAACCTGTTCTTCCAAAGAAGTGTCCTATTCAAGTACAGTTACTGACTGAGCACAACCAAGGCCTCGTCAATTAAAAATATTTCACCTGGGGAGGGATTAAATGTATCCCCCTCCCCAGGGATGACAACTGAACGTGCAGTCCCAGGCGTGAAAAGAGAAAAGTCCGTTTAATCCCACACATCCCTACCCATCAAATCACTCCGTGATCTGGATAAACGGTCGGCGATTTGTGAAAATAAAAATAAATGTCACCTAATAAACTTAAATAGCAGTGCAGTGGCTTGTTAAAAATTAAAGAAGACAGAATCGAATTTCTGATGCATTGATATTTTGCAAGTAGAGTAAATTGTGGTGATTTATGAAGGACCTAATCATTCCTGACTTGCCGTCTGCTCAGTGAGATCAATGCATGGAGAGCTGGAAGGAGCGTAATGTAGGTGCCTGGTTAATTACACTTCTCCACGACTGTGACTGGGAGACACTGAACCAATGCAACTTTAACCAAGGCTGTACATACTGTATAACACATTTTCCATTGAGGTGTCGTCAGTCAACTGAAATTATGCAAGCAAACTTGGTAAGATGTTGCACGCAATATAATGGACGTGACCATTTAAAATCTCTCTTCAAGAGCCAGAGCCAAAATACATTTGGCGATTGGTTACATTTCCAAGGAAGTTTGCTGAACATTTAGATTCTGATAGAGGCAATTAGTTTGGCATATATGGTTAAACGTATATCGTATTTATTTACTTTAATGTAATTACAGAAGTAGAAAGTTCATACAGTTTTAACTTGATGCTTTTTCCATTTTAAGGATGCTGGAGCGATGAAATCAGCTCATATATATATAGCTGTTGGGTGGATTTTGACATCTCAGGAGAACTCCAAAGGATGGCGGCACTTTGAGAACACCTTCAGCCAGCAGTGAACTGATCATGGCTGATAATGACTGTAAATATTTTATCCCAATAGCTCAATTTCTGTCTCTTCCTGTGCTGAACGATCAGAAACGCAGGCGAACTCTAAAACTATCAGAGTATACCTGTGATTTTATGTCTCATCTTTAAATGTTACCACTTAATATTATCTGCATCACAAGTTAAACTGTAACAAACAAAAAAACAAATGGTCGATGTTCGGTGCTTGTACCACTGCAGATGGAGATCGGCCCCTTTAATTTTAAGGTCTTTCCCCGATGTCTTACAAACATTTCATAGCATGTGTGCGAGAAGCAGTCAAATTTATTGAAAATGCGTAAAGATGTACATATTATCAGAGAAATAAAAACACTGGCGTTCCTCATTAACTCCCCCGAAAACAAATGTCACGCGACTTTTCGGGCAACGGTCCTTCCTAATATGCACATGTTATTATCATCATGCGTAAAGATGTGTGCATGCGCACAACGCCATGCATCACAAATGCTGTACTGCGGTCGCACGCACGCATTTGGCTCTCTTGTCAAAGTTTAATACTTTGGACTGAATACTCTATGGTCCCTTTCATAATGTAATTCAGCAACGCTTCAGTGAAATTGCTATGATCGTTTAGATTTCAATGTCTCCGTTCAAGTTTACGATACGGATTTTTCACTGACACACCATCTTTCGCAATTAATAACCGATAATAAAAAAAATACGTGTAGTCACAAGGGCGACACCACCTGATTCGCAGCAGAGAAAACCTCATTATCACAGAAGCGCATGAGTGCTTCACCCACTGACGTCCAAAATGATATTTCAACACTTTGCACAGAGTTCAAAACTCAATTACGCCTTAGCATCGTATTATACTTAGCTGAGTTAAAATAACACATGATACAAAAAAAAACACGCGTTATACAGTACATCTATACGTGGTAAATTTCATGGTGCGAGAAAATAAGGGGTATCATTTGTTCCCTTGAAAACAACGTCACATTGCGTCTATGTTTTATTTATTAACTTAATTTTTTATAAGTATTCTACGAAGTAAATCCTTATGATGTCATTATGAAATATATTTTTGTTTAAAGTATTTATATATACTGGATCTGCTGATATTGATTTAATGACCAAGCAATATTAACTTGCACACCACAAAAGGGTGTGGCATTAAGAAAATATTCCTAATGAATTAAGAAATATATGTGATGCACAATATCTAATGGTAAATAATGTCACACTCATGTGACATTACAATATATTTCAAACTTTCAAAATGCTAAATATTATCAATCATAAATGTCACGCACCACTAGCACCACCATATATAGATGAAATTAAACATCTCACAAATAATATGCCTATCAAAATTCCTCATTTTACTGCCTCTGGCATGGTAAATCAAAGTGGGCCAGGCTTTTGACCGATTACCGCCATTGAAATCATATCTGATGCTTACGCGGCCCTGGTAAGTGTGTATGGATCCCTGCAATCTCTATGTAAAAAATCCAGTAAGTATTTAAATGCTCACCGCATCACTCACCTTGGCCATCTGCGCCTGGATCCCACTGGCCTTGAGGGCTGTCACAGCCTTCTGTGCTGCAGATGGGCCGTCAAAATCCACAAATCCATAGCCTGGAAAAGAGGAATGGCAGGACATGAAACCTCCTTTACATAAAGTCAAGTGACTTGGGTGTTATTGCTAATACTGAACTCTAGAAACTGGACCTAGACCTTGAAATAAAATACATCAGAAGTTAATAAAATGATATTGTGGTAAGCGTTCAGAAAATAATTCACCCATCCTGACGAGGTGAAACAGGTCAGGGCTGAGGGGGCATGTGACTGTTATGGCATTCACTTATTCTCGACCAGCAAAGGAGACGGCAGTGACTTAGCAGCCACTGTCGAGGTTCTGGGAGTGTGTAACAATAATAATAATATACACGTGCAATGTTCTTGGGTAACTGGCAGAGTAGCACTGGATTTGGCAAATACAACTGTACAGTATTCCCCATTGAGTATGGGGGTGAGAGCAAAACATGTTATTGTTGTGCTATTTCACTTAATAACACTATAAATCTTGAGTAAATACACATGTTATACTTTATGGTCATGCAAGTTAAAAATGAAGTCTAATTAAATGCTAGTTTTCCACAAGATACTATTAGAAAGTTGTTGGTTTGTAATAAGGCACACCAAAGTGGTATATTCTCAATTTCAGTTGCTATAAAGCTTTGTGTATCATACAAAGGTCAAACTATGTCATAAAACATTTCCACCTAAATACAATTTTAAGTGGACATTATGATGACTCGAATATAAATGTAGGCCATTAAATACTTGGGTCCTGAGTTTGTACCACTGTATGTACAATATAACAAGACTACACCATGCAATGCATCAGTAGACATGAGCAGGCTAAACCAAACGTTGACAAAACATTAAATCACGACCAAAGGTTGGTTAATGTTGCAAAACATTTTACGAATGTCAACGTTAAACTCATGAAACTAAACTGATGTCACTTGCAGTAGAGTATTTCATGAGCACAACTGCCTATCAGTTTTGATTACAATTATGTGTCTTGACAAGTACAGATTGAATGGTATTGCTAAGCTTCACCTTAATTCCTATCACAAAAGTGAAAGTAAAACTTGAAACATTTTACGAACATATAATTTTCATAGTGATGGCTTTGAGGTACACCGTTTCATTTCAATGTAAACTATGACAGCAATTAAGTATCGACACAATATATACATTAAAATTAAGTGTCAATAAAACTGTGCACATAGAGACCGTTTCTAACGGTTACCAGCATTACTAGTCGATGAAAATAACTCGATACAATGTTATAACATGTATGCAACATAAATATTGATTTAAAGCGTTCGTGACTGCAGGGATTCATATTCTTGGTTCTTTCGGTAAAGTCACGTAGCAGGGAAACAATAAAATAATAAGAATATAAAACAATTGTTTTATTGTTTTATTATTTTATTGTTTGATATTTTTATTATTTTATTGTTTCCCTTCCACGTGACTTTACCGAAAGAACCAATAACATAAATATTGTTTAGTGTCATTCAATTTGTTGACGCAATTATGCCCCTACTCTGTATTTTTTACATTTCAAAGCTGGCAACAGAAATGTGAAAGTACATTGAACAAAAATGTCTTTCAATTCACATACTGCACTCTTGGGCCTACACCAGTATTGTGCCATTTCACAGGCAATTGTGCCATTTCACAGGCAGCTCCAGTACCATCAGTCTGCCAAAGACTTAATTGTCGGATCAAAAATAAGTGACTAACAGTGTTCCACTTGCACCTACCACCCATTGCATAATGTTAGTTTTGAAGGCCATCAGTAGTACAACCACCACTTTTCAGCCAGTTTTGTGCAATCACAAGTGACCGGTCTTAAACCACGTTAGCCACGTAAATAAATGATTTTGAACCAAGGAAGCGTTTGTGCTTGGGCTCCCTAACCAGTGGTCTGAAGCCAGAGGTGAAGGTGTATCTATACAGCACATTAGATCCCAAAAAGGTATAGAGATACCATCTTGATATTTGTGTTTTGGTGGCAATTTATAATTATCAAATAAAATCCATGCAGTGTAATTTAAAATATGATCTGAAAATTCCAGGCATTCATACATAAAATACAGATATTAACATACCCGTGGATAATAGACCTGCCACATCACAAGCGGAGAGATAGCAGAGACAGCAGGAGAAGGAAGGGAACAGGCAGGATGGGTGTACAGCAGTGAGGGTTGCTGGCACGTCGAGGGCTTTATTAATTTACATTAGTGAGGCCTGACTCAACCGAACAGGGATATCGATTCTTAATTGTTAAACGTCTTTAAAAATAATCATTGTTATCAAGGCCTGTGAGAAGAGGTAAAATGATTCAATATGTACAACAGATGATCTGCCAACTTTTTTGACACATGCTGGTAGGAACATGCACAAATAAAAGTACGACTGAAATTCTGTGTCAAAGATAGTGGTGTATCAGGGAGTGAGGGAAATAAAGGATATCCTCAGAAACAAAAGGTTGTGACAGCTAAGATATGGCTTTTGTGAGAACCCTGCTATCAGTGCATGTCATGGCAGAGCCAAGCCTTGCTCACACGATCAATGTGCCATTGCACACAGCCACACCAGTAGCAGAAGCCTATTGTAGAACAGAGAGGAACGATCGTGATAATGGTGAAAGACACTTATAAGGGGTACCATGCACAGATAACCCATGTTTATGCTGATATATTGGGGAACCATACTGTCACAAGTACAATAAGGGGTATTCGCATAACCACGTAACAGATAGGTGGCTATTCATATTTGGTATTGAGTTTAGAGCAGTGTTTCTCAAACTGTTTTGGCCCGAGGAACACTCAGCCGATGCAAACATTTCCCTGGACCACCCAGCCCCCCACCAGTGGTGACAAAACGCATTAACTTATCTCTAAATGCCAGTTATACAAAATAATTACTATTACCAAAATATAAAAAAAAAACACAGATATAAGGTCTGTTTTTTTTTTTAGGAGGCATGTAGATCTTAGGGTAGTTTAATCAGGGGTAGTTTACCTAAATTTGTTTTATTACATATCATTAATACAATATTAATTAATGTCCAAAACAAAAAGGTATAAACGTTAAGATTATTTCCAGATCGACCTGTGTTTGCATCACAGCCCCACGGCCCACCTGCAGGACTGTCGAGTACCACTGGTGGTCCCAGGACCACACATTGAGAACCACTGGTTTAGAATTATTGAATAAGCAGAAACTAGAAGTAAGCACACATCTTGAGAGCAAGTCTATGCATGCTTAAATCTTTAGTAGTGTGCTTGTAACAGAAGTTGCCCTCTGCACACCCCCCACCCCCATCAGTGGAATGCAAGTGATAAATGTTCTTATAACAGCTGATTTGGTGATATTGCATTGGCAGTGGTGCACACATAACAAAACAAGATTGTATGTCCTATGGAAAAGGGCCACTGCTCGAAATGTTGGCTATGTTCTTACAAGCAGCTTCAACTGTATCCATTTTCAAAATGGTTGTAATGTATTTTTAAATGCATGTTATCCAAGTAAATGTCATCTGCAATGTAATATTAAATTTGTAATTGTGCCTTGATTTAAAGGGCACATTAAAATAATCAAGTAAATTGAAATGGTTTACTTTCATAGACGTGTGAAAACTCACCTTTGCACTGATTGGTTGTTTTATCCAGGATGGCCTTAGTGGATACAATTTTTCCATATCTGAGAACATAAATGTGGTTAATGCAATGTAGTATTGTATTAAAACACATTACAGTACTAATACACACAAGAGTCGAAACCCATTTGGACCGACATGGAAACTAGGTTATTGCTACCCTTGCCTGCAACAGAAAGTTCATGTAAAAGCTTTCCAGACACAAATGTCCTGTTTTCTCACAATAGTAATTCTTGCAAGGGCTGGCTTGTTCCACGTTTAAAAAGGATTGAAAAATTACAAACAAGACAAATAAAAAATGCATCTAACATTAATGGCAAATCTACCCGGTCCAAGTTATGGTTTGTCATTTAGGAGATATTCATGTTATATGGCATGCAAATCAAACGTAAATTAAATATGCATGCATAAAGCAAATTTCAATTTTAAAATGTAGAATCAGAAATGCAAATTTTGAATTCCAAGCTGAAAAAAGCCACAAAAGTATAATAAAATCTATTCGCCATTGTGTAATTTGTAATTTTACAATCCTTTTTAAACGTGGAACGTGGTGGGGTTTTTTTCTTTTATTTTTTATTCTTTTTTATTTTATATCTACGTGACTTTACCGAAAGAACCAAGAACATTTTTTTGACTATTTTGAAAGGTTTAATTTTGCATTTCAAAAAGTGACACCGCAACGTACATTTTTATCTTAATGACACACAGTGCTGCCTCCGCTAACTGTATGCACAGCTATTCTTGTATTGATGAAATATGCATTTATCATTCCGAGTCAAGTCATCACAGAGATTCCATAAATAGTTGTACGAATGAAGCCAAGAATGGATTGGACTGGACAGATCTGCTGAGCACTTTAAATGGTCACGATGACCCACGTAAAGCAAACCCATATCATTAAAAAATGCATCACGTGCTCTTATTACCAATACCAAATCCAAAGTAGTAAAATAGGTATGCTTTGTTTAAGTATTAAACTAAAAAAACATAGGACGCTTCATTATTTAATCTGCCCAGTCTTCTAGTTGAACATATATATTAACAGTTTCTTACAATGTTGAAGCCAGATAAAACATGTGGTAGATCAGGTAGAATAATAAAATATTAAACATTGTTTCAATGTGACATTAAAACTGCGCTCTTGAGTTTTTGTTCAAATGTGTCGATTGTCTAATGAATGTATTAATCATATCAACGATTATATTTCCTATTTATTTAGATATTTGCATAGATTTTTGCATTTGAGAGATGAAAATGTGTTGATTGAGACATTTAACGGACTGTATATACAAACGCAACAGCTTTATTTTCCAGGATTGGCATACGGTAATGTGCAATATAGTTTATGGGGGAGCTAGTCGACTGGCAGGTCACATGTGGCGGGGTAAAGTTTGGGAACTCCCACCTCTTCCACGACATCTGGCCAGCATGTAAGAGTAGGCCAAATACTCTCTAGCGAGGCTCCTCTACAGCTCTCTCTAGTGTAGGCCTTTCCGTCAGCAGGGGCATTAGCGGGCAATTTCAAGGCAACACCTTTACCTAATCGTTTTATTTCCGCGTTCATACGTCAAGAGGTAGAAATTAAAATATCCACTAAATTGTTTTGGGATGGCCTTTTGTTGATACTGAAATGTGTAGAAGAGTATAGATGCACTTGGGCCAATCCCAACACCGTTTCAGCAAAAGCCGAGACTGCGGAATAGTTTTGCACGCGCATCACGTGCATCCACAAAAAGCCGCAACTTTCTGTGCCCCCAAACAAAATACCTGATTGTACCACCTTTTAGACCTTTGTCTGGCTTAGCGTCGGCCGTGTCGTGAGAGGCAATCCCGTCATTCAAGAGGCTCAAGGTACTATCAGGTTTTAGGGATGAACTAAGAAACACTTGGCATTCAGCTTGACCAGACTGAGGAAGGGCGCAAGGGACACGATGCAAATGAGGGACAGTTTGACCTCCAGTCTTACAGTAGGTGTGCAGATCACCAGCTGCTGCCCAAGAGAATGATTTGTCAACGTTGCTTGCTTTAAAAATACATTACTTGTGTGAATTTTATTGTTTTATATATATTTTATTATGTTATTGTTTCCCTTCAACGTGACTTTACCGAAAGAACCAAGAATATTAAAAAAAACGTGTTTAGTTGCAGTGTGCGAATGTGTAGCTTTACTTGCTTGTGTGTCTGTGTAGATCTTGTTTACGGATAATTTGCAGACCTCCATGAACAAAACTTAAATTTAAACAAGCCTAAAATTCTGCAAGCTTTTACACAGCTCCAAATACCTTTTGATTAAAATGTCAAGTACAGTTTCACTGGAATGGGGTCCATTTATAACAATCTAAAGTATTCTAATAGTGAGCATAATGTGATTGCACAGTGTTTTGTATAACGTTGGCTTGGTGGGTCATTCACCGTAAATCCCATTTCCCTTCCACACGTGCACCCTTTCCCCCTCGCTCCTTCTGCTCGCTGGCGATTCACCCGTATGGTTAATCTAAATTGTCTTATGATTGTTGTTGTTGGCTTGCACCACATTGATTTTTGCACACAGCGTTTTAATAAGTTTTTTTTTGTGTGGAATATTTGCTGGTTTATTCGAGGATGTTTCTGTTACGCGTTGTCGCTTTAAGATGTTCTGTGTTCAAATTTTGTTTGTTGCGGTTGCACCCGACTTAAGAGCCGCATGGCTCACAGGGCTATACCTAATAAATGAAACTTGAACCCCGTGATAATGTGCCTCTCGGGACAGGCTGTGTGTTGGCGAGCAGATCAATTGATGTATCTCATCAAATGACATGGCATAGTGTTGGCGGGTCATCCCAAGAACTCGCTACACATTGATATATTCACAACATTCATTCACGTGACTTCTCTGAATTTTTCTTCTTTGGTTCTTTCGGTAAAGTCACGTAGAATGAGAATAAAATAATAAATTGATAAAATAAAATAGCATAACACAATAATATTCTCACGACGTTTCGGCCACAACACAAGCGGCCTTCATCAGGTGAAGGGACGAGACTGTCTGGTAGGACAGCGCTGGAGTGAAAGAGCCACGTTCAGATCACGGCCTTTAAGCTGTGTGAGAGGAAACAAAGCGCCTTGACAAAGGAATTGCCATATAATTTAGCATTGAAATGGCTGAATGATTAGCTTGTGACTGGTCACAGAAATAGCTATGTTAAAAGTTAAAGCATACACATCTGCAGAGGCACCCCTTGATAAAGGAATTAGCATAGAATTTAGCATTGAAATAGCTAAGTTAAAGCATACACATCTGCAGAGGCACCCCTTGACAAAGGAATTAGCATAGAATTTAGCATTGAAATAGCTGAGTGATTAGCTTGTAACTGCTCACAGAAATAGCTACGTTAAAGTCAGAGCATACACATTCACCGAGGCACTTAGTACAAATCAAACAGGAGAATTTAGTATTGAAATAACTAGGCGAATTTAGCATTGAAATAACTGAATGATTAGCTAGTGACTGGTCACAGAAGTGACTATGTTGAAGTCAAGGCCTACACATCTGAGCTATTCACAGTACTATATAGTGAACCAATAAAAAACTAGGCCTTGACTTCAACACAGTCACTTCTGTGACCAGTCACTAGCTAATCACTCAGTTATTTCAATGCTAAATTCGCCTAGTTATTTCAATACTAAATTCTCCTGTTTGATTTGTACTAAGTGCCTCGGTGAATGTGTATGCTCTGACTTTAACGTAGCTATTTCTGTGAGCAGTTACAAGCTAATCACTCAGCTATTTCAATGCTAAATTCTATGCTAATTCCTTTGTCAAGGGGTGCCTCTGCGGATGTGTATGCTTTAACTTTTAACATAGCTATTTCTGTGACCAGTCACAAGCTAATCATTCAGCCATTTCAATGCTAAATTATATGCTAATTCCTTTGTCAAGGCGCTTTGTTTCCTCTCACACAGCTTAAAGGTCGTGATCTGAACGTGGCTCTTTCACTCCAGCGCTGTCCTACCAGACAGTCTCGTCCCTTCACCTGATGAAGGCCGCTTGTGTTGTGGCCGAAACGTCGTGAGAATATTATTGTGTTATGTTATTTTATTTGATCAATTTATTATTTTATTCTCATTCTACGTGACTTTACCGAAAGAACCAAAGAAGATGAATCATTGCAGTCACGAAAGCTTTAAATCGAAATTTCTCTGAATTTGTAATGACAATTTGTTTCTGCAAACTATTGGTTTTTAACTCAACTAAAACGTATGAAATTTTACTTTGATTTTATTATGTGAAGATTGTTTTAAATTGTCAATTTACAATTCAGCTCTTTAAAAAAAACTCCTCCATTCTTCACACGATTTCAGATATTTTATCAATATCAGTCAATATAGTGTAAATAGTACTACAAGCCTCATATTCGTACCATAAAAACATGCAAAGGCGATGCAAAACTAATTTATATATCTATTTAACCAGCGTCACTTTATTCCACGGCCAAATGAAAATGAGTCCCTTTGAAACAGTAATCACTGTGCACCCACCTTTACTGATTTTTGCGTGCGTGTGTCACCACTTATGAGTGTATGTTGGCTGCACACATGTTTTGTAACCCTAAACGTGCAGAGGGAACGCAACTTGTGCTGGCACAACGTATCCTTGAGTGTCGTGTGCATGCGCCCCGTTGTCTCGTGAGGATCAACCACACGCAGTCAATCACGACCCATACACATCTGCTCAGGGACAGTAATCCCCAACACAAGCAAGCAATTAAAGTCTCAACAAAATAGGGGGGGAAAAATTACTTTCGTAGCAACATGCCTTGCTTCTTAACAAGCAAGAATTAATGAGAAAAAAAAACATTTATTATTGCGTATTAACTTATCAGTTGTGGGAAAATGTTCTCGAGTCAAGAAATAACGCGCACAAATTGTGCAGTCTGCTTTGCACACAAAGTCATGAAATAATCACAAAGCAGTGAACCATGGGCCTTCAGATAGCACGCATATTACTGTAAACTAACATTCACCCTGGTAGGTATATTCATAGAATAACATATTTTTTTAAACG